TACACTAATCTGGTTTTGAATGGGACAGTTAGCATTCTCTGCGAGGATACTTTAGGCCATCCAAGATAGACGACCGAGGCAGCTGTTACATGTCCTTCGTCGTCTGTCTCATGGGTCCAGTGTTGTCGCTCTGGGCGCTCCACCGGTGCCTGCCTGGAGGTCAAATCAAAATCTGGCTCAACACAGTTTGTCAACACATTGAAATGGCTCTTGGATGTTCTGTGTCCGGAAGTGGCCGAGCTCTCTAGATAGGTTGTGGCGTGTCGCCAGGCTTGGGGAAATGTGATTCGCGACACCGAGGCAGACTGGGTCACTCATCATCATAACTGTGCCACGTATAGGATACGAGAAGGTGAAACCGTAGAACTTAAGGACATGAGACAAGTATACTCGATGTTACAGACTGGCTGGGTAGACGGATGTAGTCCTTGCCCGGTCGCAGCATGCTACTGGAGCAATCGGCAATTGTCTGCAAAGACCACGGCACCGAAAATTACCAGGTCATCGTGGATTCGAATCAACTGAATGCTCTTATCCTCCCTCCTCTTAGACTGGAACTACACGATGTCACGTGCAACACTAGGAAAACCACGCAAAATGATCGGATTCATTCTGGGGCTTCGTGTCAACACTGACGTCCTGGCTCCATGGGACGCTTGAACAGGCGCGGGGAGACGAGGTTTCTCCTGACAACGGGCTCGCCCATCCTTGTGCGAGAACTAATGCGGCATAAACCTCATCGACGTTGCTGTGAAGATCTTTGCTATTGGCCTCAGGCGTGACTCTAGGAGGAGGCTCAATCACGCTGGATTTCGTGCTGGACGTGGATTTGCGGACCAATTATTCCCAGTAAGGCGCATTCTTAAATTCCGCCACAGCTACCAGCAACTGACGACCGTCTGCGTTGTTGACTCTGCCGCCGCGTTCGACTCCGTCTATCGTGAGTCCCTATGGCGGATAATGGCATTAGATGGTATACAGCAGAAAATAAGTGCCACTATTAAGGCCTACCATCGCTCCACCATCGGACGACTTTTGGTTCACAACAATCTTTCCCAACCACCGGGAATTCGGTTTGGCGTTCGACAGAATTGTATCCTGTCGTCCATTCTGTTTAACTACGCTACCGACTGGATTCTCGGGAGGGTCCTACACGAAGACGACGGTGTTCAGTTCGCACCAAGACACCGGTCGACTGGTCTCGACTATGCCGATGATCTCGCCTTACCAGCTTCAAGTCTTGGTGATCTGCAGTCTATGGCGTCATAGGTGAACGAGGTCGCAAAATCGGTTGGTTTTTTCATAAACGGTGGGAGGACTAGTGTTTTCAAACCGCATCCCTGACCAGGAGAAGGCACCTCCCGGGATTGATGACTGTCAACTTGAAGAAGTAGACGGTTTTAAATACCTCGGGGCAGGACTGCTGCCGAATGGACAGAGTAAGGCTGATATTGTCTCCCGAACTGATGCTGCACGACGGGTTTTCTCCAGCCTTAGAAAATGCGTATGGATCTGACGCGACCTCTTCATCGCTACTAAGATTCGCGTGTACAGTGCGTCTGTCCAGTCGTTCCTTCTCTATGGTTGTGAGTGCTGGGCTGTGTGCGCGGAGAAAAAGCGAAAACTGGAGGAATTTGACCACCACTACTTGAGGACCATCCTTCGAGTGAAGTACACTGACTTCGTCTCAAATGAGACATTCCGCGCTCGTTGCGACATCGCAAGGATAACCCAGGCCATCCAAGCAAGGCGACTGAGGTGGTTTGGGCATGTTGCTTGTCGTTCACTTCAGGAGCTCAGCGTTACTGCCATCGACGCGGCACCGCTATCCAATTGGGGACGTCGAATAAGGGGTCAACTCGAAACCTGGCTCTACATAGTTCACCAGACATGGAAGTGGTTCTTGGACCTTCGGCATTAGGTCTCCGTCGATGGCAAAGATCTGCGGCTGCGGATCGTCACGTGTGAAGAGGTAAAGTTCGGGACATCATCGAGACCGGCTGGATCAGGTATGATCGGACCGGTACCAAGTACGAGGAGTTTTTGGCAGTTACTTCTACATCGTTCCTAAGAAGAAAAGAACTGTCCGGGCACTAGAACATCAGCATACATTTACATTATTTTCTTCAAGGCCAAATTGAACGTAACTGGTCGACACATTAGAATGCGCCGTTAGGGCTGGAATTTTAACTATCAAAACTTTCGACCCCATCCTTGCGTGCTACTACGCTATTCAGACAAAGAAAAGAGTCCTGAACTAAGAACGCCCGTATGCCTTCACGGCAATGCAGGGCTCCATAATTATAACGACCCCGCAATTCTCTCTGCTCGGTCGCCAAGGCAACTTAGAATCTTAATGGGCACTACAGTCATGCAAACCTTAGACGTCACCCGCGTGAAATGTGGCCATACTCCCCCCGGGTTGCATTTGGTTAAAGTTAATTTCGTAGTTAACTGATATGGAAGCGTGCGGCTCGAAGGCGGAATCGTCTAGGAAATTCCCTTGGCGGCCCCGACACTATCTTCACTCCCACGTTGTCTCTGGGCACATTCGGGTGGCGTTTCTCCGCAAAAAGCGGTGAGGGTGCGACTAATCACCACACATGCATTACTTAAGCGGTTTTGGTGCAACCACGTTCCCTAGAAAGGAACTCCTTTATCAAGCGGGGCACGCCAAGCCGATCGCCCCCGCATGTCGGTTTCGCGAACCAGGAACAAGACCTTAAATACTTCGTCGCCTATCGTAACGACTGCTCTTAGGGCAAGACCCGAAGTAGTTATCACGATTAACAGCTGCAATTTTTACGGCGGTACGCGTTATGCCTGACCAGGAAAGGGGAGAGGTCAGGCATCTGAGGAAAGCGTAAAATCCTTGGGAAGCGGGCGGCCAGACTGCAACTGAAAACGTCTAGGTCACAGAGGAAAATGGGCTGACTCAAGATACGAGTCAAAATGATCGCCGAGACCCGTAGCAAAGTCCAGTGAAATGTGGTTATCTTCGAGGATTCGCGATCCTTGCGTTAATGTTCCTGTCCCCTCCTCTGCAGCCTACGACAACTGTCGGCGGGTCGGGCGTTCCTTAGACAGTCACAACAAACGAGTCAGTCCACTTCGTTAGAAGATGAGGTAAACGGACGACAGCGGATTCGACAGTAGCCAGTACCTTGGTTTTTAGCATGACTGTCAGCTTATAAAGGTGACTGACAGCGACCAGCTCAACTACGATGGACGTCGACGCTGGCATGCCCAAAACACAGTATAAACTCCCTTCTGCAACCATTACGGCGTCTTGCAAATGATCAGTTTTGGCGGCAGGTACACTAACCCTACTCTATAGACTGCCTCCGCATCCACGGAGGTGTATGAAATACTATCTACTGGACACTTCGCTTGTCGCACCTCTGGATTAAGCATTTGTGCAGATGGCATTTCTGCTCTGGTTAATGTATATGCCAGACTGTTCAAGGCTTTATTACGTCGACCAAATGGAAAACAAAAGTCTAGTGTGTCAGGGGAGAACTCCGCGGCATTCACGGCGAGCACAATGCTACAGTTGAGATGATACCATTGAAGAGGATGTTACCAGCCGATGTAGTGTAGAAAGTGCATAAGAGTAGCCCAACCAAGAACGTAAAGTCGGGCGGCGGGGCAAACTAAGGGAAAAACCCTCCGTATAATGAAGGGACAATGCGTAACAGGAGACAGTCGCTTTTTGCATTTTTAATCAAAAAAGGATGCAATCAGTCGCGTCTAAGCGGGAAGCTTAGCCGCTCGACACCTTTTTGGGTTATAACGTCCACGACGACGGCGTCGCCACAGTATATGTCCCTTTCTGCCGCGCTGATGAAGATGTCCTTAGCAAGATTAATTGCTGCCTCCTTTGAGAGTTTTATGGGCTTGCTTACAAGATCCTTCCCTAGAATCTAGGAAACATTCACAAGAATGAAGAATACTCACCTGACTATCCATGAAAGGTTGCAAGATAGCACTCCCAGTGCCGGATGCGCGGTAATGCTCACGCTGATAAGAGCCCACGGGATCATATGAAAAAACGGCGCCTTCGCCATTTTCATCAAGTCCGGCTAGGAGGGTTCCCACATAGAATGGAAAAAATCGGCGTGAGTACAGAGAAACGGAAATGAGATTCGCCATCGCCGTGAGGGATATATCTTTCTTATGATGATACTTGAACTCCTACAAAAGGGTCATAAACAGGAAAACGTGCCTTAACACGCGTCTCGAGTAACTTAATAAAGGTAAGTATATCTCCATGAAAGCCTGTAAGGCATATTCGAATTGTTGGCGTTCTGAATTTTGGAGTTCACGAAAACCATCACATACATGTCATAAATATGAGGGGAATCCCGGGAAAATAGTAGACCAGCGTTCTCATCGGTTAAGCGAGTATCCGATGCAACCAGGGCATAGTCGGCACCTGCGATCCCGAGAGTTGTACTATGTGGATTTGATAGAGCCGTGAAAGGGACTTAAGCTTACCCCCCATTTTGTGTGTATGGATTGAAGCTCATGTTAAAGTCTGGCTAAAACGTGCAAACTGACTGGGACTCCCTTTGTCCTATAAAAACAAAGTAAAGGAGAGGGGAACCAATCACCGACGAGCGCAAGGTTGACGCGAAGACTGAAAAGATGCTTAATTATTCCTTACAAAGCACGCGCGTTTGGCACTAGTTCATAATAACACTACGAACGAGGCCATAACGTGACGTCAGACTGAGATTTCAGTTTACTGTCAATATATACTCCTCTGTTAAACTGATATGTCCAATTTCGCCACCCACGTGAAGCTTTCAGGTCAGTAGGAACAAATATTAGGGGGCCTCCGGTCATATATTAAATCACAGAATCTTACCTGAGATTATATTTCGTTCATGGCAACCGATAGCGTTCACGTATACTCCTTTTCGAATAATGGACTACCGATTGTAATTGGAAATGGCGAAATATATGAATGTTATCATGTTACATCCAAATTGCCAAATTGGCAGACAGGTTCTCCGTAACTAAAAACGTTGCGCAGGAATGAATATATGAGTTGCAGACAGAGGTCGTAATTATTTTGGAGATTGAAACGACTCTTTTCCCCTGACGTCTGCAAGACGGAGTTGGCGTGTCGTGGTTATTTGAGCTCGTGGAGGGGGTGAACTAGGATGTGAACGATGTTCATAGGCTTTTCACACGTTGTGCACAATACTGTCGTTAGGCATTGGAGCGGCGTGTGATCACCAACTGGAGTCGGGCAATGAAGCACTTGTACCAGCATCTTCTTACAACTATGAGCCGGATTTGCTAGTCGAGTGGAGACAGCATCGGCCGCTCCTAGCACCCATTAACTTAGAAATCTAGAGAAGTTTGCTGATGCTCCGTAGGCAACGTGAAAGGCTTGTTTGGCATCGACTCAGTGATTTGTATCGGCGTTATGGTCAAGAAAAAACTCGAGACAGGTATAGTTCTACTGCCGCTTTGATAACCCGGCATTGGTTCATGCTCCCTTTTTCACAGGCGCCTCATTGTGCAGCCAGTGTCTCTCGCTCCACAGGAGTAAATGAATAAATAAATAACAAACCGTTCCTAGGGCTTCTGTCATAGCAAGCAAAAATAACTCCTCAAGTTAACTGCAGAACAAGCAGGCAGACGCTGTACAGTGTTATGTCAATGGTTATAGAATAGACAGCTGGTATAAAACACGGCTATTGAAAAGTGAGAAAAAAAAATGAGAGGGATTTAGATCAGTATAGGTCAATATCGATAGCAGTGAAAAAGCGATTCCCAGGTGGAATATCAAAAGAAAAGGAAGCGTTCACCGGGAGAGGTGTATTTGAGGTCTGACGTTTCGGATAGTCGTTTCTTCTACCCATCTTCAGAGACTGAACAGTCATGGACACAGCTTTCCTTTTTATGACGCACTTTGTTTGATCCTGGCCCACCAATGCCGCTTGTGTGGCTGCATCCGACCCGCATGTCACCGTGACCTGAATCCCGCCTATCTTCGTCGGCCGCGGCGATAATTGATTGCCCCGATTGTCCCACGCCGTGACTGTCCCCCGTCAAGAATATCCGTAAAACCAGGTAAGGGGAGGCAAATTGGTGTGGCGGTTGACAGAACAGTCGGTAGACATCCAGGCTTCTTGCACCTGCCTTGTCGTATGATTATTACCTCGGCCCACAATTTCAACGGCGTTAAAGTTGAAGACGTGTCCCATTTGGGCGGCATGAGGTGCTACCTTCGACTTTGGGTCCAACCTTCGCACGGCCAGCTTATGCTCGTGCATGCGCATTTGCAGCCGTCGGCCGGTTTCCCCAACGTAGCTGCACATTCCGCAGCTGCACTGAAGTCGGTAGACAAAAGCCGACATCTCCTGCTTAGGGATCGAGTCTTTTGGCCGCATCACTTGCCGGCGGATTGTTGAGTCACGCCTGTAGACAACGCCTATTCCGAGCGGCACGAGGGATCTGGGTACGGTTTCGGAGACCCCTTTCATGTATGGAATGCTCCGCCACGATTTTGGCTGACTGGGTTCTTCATTCCGCTTCCTTGGTTGCTCAGTCGCTGAGGGTGGATAGAAGAAACGACTACCCTAAACGTCAGACCTCAAATACACCTCTCCCGGTGAACGCCTCCTTTTCTTCTGATAGGTCAGTACATTTTAAGGGTAATAGGAAACGCCTTTGAAAACCCTATTGAAAACGGTACTTGCAATATCTACCTTTAAATGAACATGGTAATAAAATGTTGTCAGTAATATTTACACTTAACGGAATATTTTCATTGTGAACTGCAGGACCGAAACTCGAGAGCATTAAGTTGTAGATGCTAACGGTAAAATGAAATGACAGTCATGCGCATTAGCGTAAGGTGTATGCAAGGCGTTAGTTTGGCACCACAGAGCTGTTCTGCCCAGTCAAGCGGTATTGTCCAAGCAAATATACATATAGTTTTTGCTTGAATGTCTCCATAGAGTCCGCCATTATTAGGTCCTCGGGAAGCCCGTTCCAGGCCCCGACGACTCGCTGTGAGAAAGAGTATCTGCGAACGTCCAGGCAGCATCGGGATCCTCTAAGTTTTAGAGAGTTCCCACGCAGGTTTGTTGTTGTGGCCAGGGTGAAGTACTCGTCGAGGTTTAGTGCTCAGTCCGGGTTCCTCAATATCCGATACGCCTGTACTAGATCTCCTCGAATCTGACTGTACTCAAGAGGAAATACTGTAAGTTCACTAAGTTTGCAGTTTTAAGGTTGAGTCCTGAGGCCTTTCACAATTTTGTCGCTCTTCTCTGAACTGTTTCTATCAACTTATAGTCTTTTTTTAACCATGGGCGCCACGCTTGGATTCCGTACTCCAGATGTGAACAAATGAACGCTCCCTATACTTTTCCACATGACTCTGTCTATATTGATGAAAGTTCGTTTTATGGCAAAGCGAACACTGGTTGACATTTTGGCCATCCTAACGCATTGAGATGAAGGCTTAAGAGTCGACAAAATGTTGATCCCAAGACCTTAGTTCTTACGAAGAAAGAAGGTATCTCTCGTAGAAACGCAAATATGCGAGTCAAGCAGAACCGTCCTGCATGTGGTAGTGAATAATGGTTCTTAACGGACAGGAAAGGATAAAATTTGAAAGAGGATAAGACAAATCACTGCAGATGCCGTCGTGATATTTTGCGCTCACGGCAGAAGCAACCGTCAAGGTGGCGAGACACGAGGAAGCCAGGCGTGTTTGGCCACAGTTTGCCTGGAGGCAAGCCGAGGAGGGGACAATAAAGGCTGAGGCTGAGTACGGAAAGAGGCGATCATGACACATCCTTGCAGTCCGACCAAATACTGGCAGATGACGAAGTCAGAGGATTCCGTCTTGATCGACGACAGAACACTTGGGGTCGAAATGAGGAGAAGAAATCATGAACCGCGAAAGTTATCAGTCGGGAGTAAGGCCTCGAAATCTCAGAGGCCAGGTGGGTGATAAATGAGGGTCGGCGATAAGAGGAACCGAGGAGACTTAGAGCGTGCACGTCAACCTGGCCCCACTACCTCTTTGGGAGGATTTGTCAGAGAGGGCATCGAGTTATGTGATGGACATGATTAATCGACTGAAAAATCGAAAATATCAAAATTTCTAATGAGAGATCCTAGAAGGCGAAACCACACACAAGGAAGGAAATATGAGCGGGCGTTAAAGTCGCCCTTCCAAATATTTCTGCGTCTCTTGATTTTTTTTGTTCGGTAGGAGAGAACACATGCAGATAAAAGCAGTATGATCGCTTAAACCGAGTGGAGGTTGTGGATTCACTTCTCCTATGACTCCTTCTTCTTTACTGATAATGAGATATAAACAGTTCGTTCGTTGTGCTTCTCTCAGTCATCTTTGGAATTTTATACGCTGAATGAGGTATTCATTCAGGGAGAGTTGTAATAGTCTGTGGTCAAATGACGTGGACGGGGCGTTTGTTAAGGGGATTTCCCAGGCTATTCCTAAACCGTTAAAGTCACCCAGACGTAGTAAGTTCTCCTGCTTACATAACTCTAGTGCACTAAGTAATCCCATATCGGCGATTTCATTCGAGCTGGGAGGCCGACAGACTAAACACAGGTTAAGGGTCGGTAATTTATGATATGTATCTTGCATGAAATTATTTCGAAATTTCGCGGTGCCCCATCAAATATATCTCGCTAACAGAACGAAATTTCATTTGAGAGATAAATCGCTTTGCCTCCTCCTTTACGTTGAAATCTGTCACAGCGGAACAGTTGGTAGCCTTCAACATTGACTTCGCTATTACTTATTTCCACAGTCAAACAGTTCTCTCCCAAGACAATTATTTGAGGCTTCTGTTCAGAGACTAGTAACCTGAGCTCATTTAACTTGTTGAGGAGACTCTGACAGTTAGTGTAAAATTTTTCTAGATAGCGGTCACTGGTGCTAGCAGCCTCAGAAGTTGGCACCTTTGCATTGGCTAGGCTGTCAGAATGACGGCCTTCGGCCAGAGAAATGTCCTTTTGACCTAACTTGTTTGTCTGTTCTTGATTTGTAGGTGGGTTTCGCCGCTGCTTTTCCACTCTTCCAGCTGCGTCATCGGCTGTCTCATTTTTATTCGCTCTTTTGGCTCGTAATCCGGCTGGAAAAATCTTCTAGACGTTGACGCCGCAGAGATTATTTTCTCTGTAGCAGGAGCTGTGCCTGTGCTTCAGTCTCCGAAATGACTTTTAGGGGTTGAGGCCGGGAAATGGAACTAGACGCTGACTGAGTCTTCCCTAATCAGAATGTCATGAGAACATAAAGTGACTCGCAGTCTCTTAACAAAGCTTTCGCATACACTTAAAGAAGGTCTTAGTCATGTTTAACTCTTTCCTTTAGAATTATTGCTGTTGCTTTGGGTACTTCTTTTATAAATACATTTTGCTTGTGACTGAATCTAGCGTCCATGAGTGTTAAAACTCTGCAAAATTATCCTTTATTTAAGAGAACTATTACTCGATTTTTGCATTCAGAAAAGTTTCCTCAAATTTTGGGTTC